CATACTTTGCAATGTTCTCCATAACTTGTCATGATCCACACAATCGAAAGCCTTTGCATAGTCAATAAAGCACAGGTAAACATCTTTCTGATATTCTCTACTTTCAGCCAAGATCCATCAGACATCAGCAATGATATCCCTCATTCCATGGCCTTTCCGGATTCTAGCTTGAACCTCTGGAAGTTTTCTGTCAATGTATAATTGTAGCCATTCCTGTATTACCTTTAGCAAATCTTTACTCTCATGGGATATCAAAGAGGTTGTCCGATGAATTCCACATTCCATTGGGTCACCTCTCTTTGGAATGGACACAAATATGGATCTCTTCCAGTCAGTCGGCCAGATAGTTGTCTTCCAAATTCTTGGCATAGAGGAGTGAGTGCCTCCTGTGCTGCCTCACTTTCTTGAAAGATTTCCATTTTTATTCCATCAGTTCCTGGCGCCTTGGTCTTTGCCAATTCCTTCAATGCACCTTGGACTTCCTCCTCCAGTATCATTGGCTCTTGATTATATGCTACCTGTAGAAATGGTTGAACATTAACCATTTCCTTTTGGTACAGTGATATGTTTATTCCTTCCATCATCTCTTGATGCTTTCTGCATTATTCAATAATTTGCCCAGAGAATCTTTGAATATCAAAAGTCGAGACTTGAATTTTTTCTTCAGATCCCCCAGCTTGAGCTATGCTGAGCGTCTTCTTCCTTTTTGGTTTTCTGATTCCAGATCTTTGCACATTTTGTTGTAATATTTGGCTTTATCTTCTCCAGCTGATCTTTGAATTTTTCTGTTCAGCTCTTGGACCTCCTCATTTCTTCCATTTGCTTTAGCATCTCTACACTGGAGAGCAAGTTTCAGCCTCTTCTGACATTCATTTTGACCTTTTCCATTTTCTTGTCTTCTCAATGACTTTTGGCTTTCTTCATGTATGATGTTCTTGATGTCATCCCACAACTCTTCTGGTCTTCGGTCTTTAGAGTTTAATGTATCAAATCTGTTCTTCAGATGGTCTCTAAATTCAGGTGGGGTATATTCAAGGTCATAGTTTGGCTCTCGTGGATTTATTTTCATATTGTTCAGCTTCAGTTTGAATTTGCATATGAGCAATTGATGGTCTATTCCTGAGTCTGCCCCTGGCCTTGTTTTCACTGATGATAGGGAGCTTTTCCATCATCTCTTTCCACAGATGTACTCAATTTGATTTCTATGTATTCCATCTCGTTAGGTCCTTGTGTATAGTCATCTCTTATGCTGTCTAAAGAATGTATTTGAATGAACAAATCATTGGTTTTGCAGAATTTTATCATGCGATCTCCAGCATCATTTCTA